TGTTTGTGTCCAATCACACTTGTGTGTAATTGCTGCCCTGAAACTCTCTACGATTTCTCTATAAAAATGCTGGAAGATTTGAACAAAGTGTCACTGGTTACCAGCCTGTATTCCTGTTCCTTTATTCATGGGCCTGGGCGATGGTCATTGGCCCCAAATGCCCAAGGGAACCCTATCACCCAGTGGGTGGTGACTCAGACAACTGATACCATAACAGGAATGCCTCAGAATTCAGACAGAGGTGTTTCGGGGTTTTTTTCCCCCATTTTGGGGCCAAATCTGGTGATGCTCAGGGGTTACTCCTGGCTCTGCATTCAGGATTCACTCCTGGTGATATTCAGGGGATCAAACCCAGGTGGCCACATGCAAAGCAAGCTCCTTACCCACTGTACTATGTATCTCTCCAGGCTTCATTTTGAATTTCTTAAGGATCTGTTGTAATTTCTCCTCTTTTTTCCCTGATCTGATTTATTTGGACATATTCTCCTTTTTCCTCATGAGTCTAGCTAAACATTTATCTATCTTGTTTATTCTTTCAAAAAACCAGTTCCTGGTTTCATTGATTCTATGAATTGTTTTCTTGGTTTTTATGTTGTTGATTTCTGCTCTAGTTTTTATTATTTCCCCTTCTACTACTTCTTAGATTCATTTGTTTTTTCCTTCTCCAGATTTTTTTTTGATTTTGTGGTTTATTTATTTTTTTTATAATTTATTTATTTATTGAATCACTGTGGGAAAAGTTACAAAGCTTTCAGGTTTAGGTCTCAGTCATGCAAATATCAAACACATTTCCCTTTATCAATACTTATTTTTTACCACGAACCCCAATAAAACCCCACCTCCCACCCCTCCCAATTCCTGTGAGGAAGATGAGTTCTAGTTAACACTCTATCTACTTTGACTAGATTCATTGTTTCGATAAAAGATTCACCACTATTATTTAGAGTTTACCCCCCCAAATCAGACATGCTGAAAAAGCATTGTGAAATGATTTGCTTTCTACAGCTGGGTTTAAGAATTGAATGTTGTCGCGCGGCCGCTATTGCGGCCGTGCGGTTTTGGATTTCTGCTATTTTACTTATTAACCCTGGAAGTATTTCTACTAAAAGTCTGATAATTAAGAGATTGGTTTCTGTGCTCTGGAGTCATGGCCGTGCCGGAGAGCCGCTCATGGGGGGCAACTGGTGACCTCGGTAGGGCGTGAAGGACGGGCCAGAACGCCCCCCTTCCCATGAGGTTTTCGTCGCCCCCAGGCCCCTGGCTCATACCTGCTGTCCACAAAACTCCCATGCGGCTGCCATCTTTCTTTCCAGAAAGGAGAGGGCGAATGGGGCAACACCCTTTCCCCTCCGGGCAGGCATGATGGCGTGGATTAACGCATAGTCCGGTCGCTTTTCTGCTCCAAGCTGCTGGTTTTCTGCATTAAGTCCTTGTGCTTCTGGGGCCATGGCCGTGCTGGAGAGCCTCTCGTGGGGGGCAACTGGTGACCTCGGTAGGGCGTGAAGGACGGGCCGGAATGCCCCCCTTCCCATGACCTTCTCCAGATTTTTGAGATGTGTGTTTAGGGGTTGTATTTGGGCTTTTTATTTCTTAATGTAGGTCCGCATTGCTATGAATTACCTCATTAGTATAGCTTTTGCTAGATCTCATAGATTTTGATAGTTTTGCATCTTTATTCTTATTAGTTTCAAGGAATATTTTTATTTCTTCCTTGATTTCCTCTTTAATCCAGTTGTTTTGTTCAGCTTCCAAGTATTGGAAGATTTTCCCCATATTTTTTTCTGTAGTTAACTTCTACTTTCATGACACTGTGGTCTGAGAAGTTACTTTGTATGATATCTATATTTGTAAATTTATTCATGTATGAGTTATGCAGTAGTATGTGACCTATGTTGGAAAACATTGTATGTGCACTAGATAAGAACATGTATTCTATGGGAGTGTGGAGAGCCCTGTATATGTCCAGTAAACCCAGTTCTTTTAACTCCTCATTGAGGACTCTTATCTCTTTATTGATACTCTGTCTGGTTGATCTCTTTAGTGGCAAAAGTGGAGTGTCCCGCTATTGTGTTTCTGTGAATGTGTGTTTTTAGTTTTGTGAGTAGAAGTTTTATGAACTTTGCTGACCCTTCATTTGGTGCACAGATGTTTATCACAGTATATATTGATCTATTTTTTTCCTTAGCCAGTAAGTTATGGACATCACTATCTCTAATTGCTTTCTATATGTATATATAGGAGTCCTTTCAAAAAAAAAAATAAAGTCTCACAGCACCCTGGATACCTGCTTATTTTGTACACGAGCTTATAAAGCCAGCAAGGTGTGAACTGAACTAAGAGAGGTAGGAATGGGAACTATGGGCATCTGAAACTCTACTAAGAGACTTTTTTTTCTTTTTGGGTCACACCCGGCAATGCACAGGGGTTACTTCTGACTCTGCACTCAGGAATTACTCCTGACGGTTCTCGGGGGACCATATAGAATACTGGGAATTGAACCCTTGTTGGCCAAGTGCAATCTACCTGCTGTGCTATCACTCCATCCCCCTAAGAGACTTTCTAACTTATAGACCTCTAATGGTTTAAGTTTCAGGGAGTTAACTATCTGAACCAAAGGAATGCAAACTACAGGTCCCTCAGGCAGGTGACTATAGCAAACATAGGAAGCTGGAGCCCTCAGGGTCAGAGGTCACAGAATAAAGCAGGCGATAGAGAAATAGATCTCTCAGTAGAGACAGGTTGGGGAAGAAAACAAAAAGCCAGAGTAACACATTTTATAAAAATAAACCCTAGCAGCACATTTCATAACATTCAAGTGTTACACATTTTCCCATATCAATACGGGGTTTTGGTGCAAGGGGACCCGGGTCAACTGTGCACACAGGACAAGCACCTACCTGCTCTATCTCTCCAGCACCCCGCCCAAAGTGGCTTCTTTATATATTTATTTGGGGAGGGGAGATTGGGACTACACATGGTGGTGCTCGGGGCTGATTCCCAGATCTGTGCTCAGGAGTCACTCCTGGCAGGCTTGTGACACCATATAGGATATCAGGGATCAAACCCTGGTCAGCAGCACAGACGACAAACGCCCTATCTGCTGTACTATCACTCTGCCTCCCTCTTCCCTATCCAGAGTACTTTCTTTTTTTTTTCTTTTTTCCTTTTTTTTTTTTTTTTAATATTTTTATTAGTGAGACACCATGAGGTACAGTTGTAGATTTACAAATTTTGTGCTTGAGTACTTTCTGACCATTACTTTCAGTCAGCTTCTGTGCAGCAACAGATCAAAAAAAATATTTTTTTATATGGTTCCTAGGTCTCCTCTACACATGCGCAGTAGTCTGGGTCTTTCTGCTAAGATAGTTTTGATGCTATTGATGGCTGTTCCACATGACTAGACTGTTTTTTCATGAATGGATTGAGACCACATCAGCGTCTCAATCAGGACCAATCAGGAGAAAGGCCAGGACCGCCTACGCCAGGGACAATATCTCCGAGTTGCCTTGTTTCTCTGGAAGGCTGTGCCTCTCTTGCTGGGTTAGGGGCCTCCTTACAACCCAAGGTAGGAGGAAATCTAGGCCCTGAACCCATTCCTTGCTGACTTTAAGCAAAATTACAGAGACTCCAAAACCAAAAGTTAAAGACAGGGGTACAACTGAAGATTTTCTGTAGGTTGGACTGAAAATACAACCCTCTCAGCCCCAAATCTTTCCCCTAAAAGAGAGAAGGTAAAGGTAAAGGCCCTTCCGTTGATCATCGATTTGCTCGAGCGGGCCCAGTAACGTCTCCATTGGAGACTTTGTTGTTACTGTGTCTGGCATATCGAATACTCTCAGTAGCTTGCTGGGCTCTCCGAGAGGGGCGGAGGAATCGAACTCGGGTTGGCCATGTTGGCTGCGTGCAAGGCAGACGCCCTACCCGCTGTGCTATCGCTCCAGCAACACAGATAAAAACCAAGAGAGTGTTCCTCCTGCCTTTCCTCTCTTCTGAGGCTTTCTGGAGAGAGAACACTATCAATAATCCCCATCCTCATTTCCCCTAATGCCTTTGTTTTATTTTTCAAAAGCCTGACCCTGGTCCTACTCCAGAGTCCTAATATAAGGAGGCATAGGGTCTAGAGATGAGTGAAAATGGAATTCTAGACTAGGGAATGACAGAAGTTTGGGGCAGCACTGACGGTGAGCAAGAACCTGTTTTCCCATATTGGAGTCTGGATGATGGAGCCAAAAACTTTCCCACCTGGCAAATAAGGAATGCGATGAAAGGCTCCCAAGCTTCCACCCAACTCTAAATTATACCGATGAGAGGCAATCTGTAGTAACCTTCAATGTTAATTTTAGAGTCAGTATATCATGAAACGTTGGTCAAACTTGAAGATAAAAAATGAAGATAAGGGCCAAAGATATAGGAAGGGGTTAAGACACTCGCCTTTTATGGGCTAGCCCCACTTTGATTCTTTGGCATCAAATATTGTCCCCCAACCCCAGTTTGATCCCTGGCACCATGAAGAGTGATCCCTGAACACAGCTAGGAGTAATCCCTGCTCACCACCAAGTGTGACCCAAAACTGAAAAAGAAAGATGAAAGAAAGAAAGAAAGAAGGAAGAAAGAAAGAAAGAAAGAAAAGAAGAAAGGAAGAAAGAAAGAAAAAAGAAGGAAGGCTTCCTTCAGTTCCACTTACCTAGGTTCATGAAGACTGGGAGACTTTGAGCACTTCCTTTTTAGACAATCATGTCACAAGACCAGGATTCCTGAAAAACTTCTAAATCTCTCATTTTTAGACCTCTCCTGACTTTTCACCCCTGGAGATTTCCTCCTTAGTCTCTGCCTGCCTGATTCCCACCTTCAGCCTATTTTTTTTTATATAGCTCAGGAACTACTTACAGCTATTAACCTATTAAGATCATGAATAGAAGCCTGGTTGAAGGAAATAGGACCAACTGTCTTCATAAATCAGCAATCTGAATAAGAGTCAAGAGTCAACAAAACTGGTAGTGATCTTTATTGAAGTGTCATGGTAGAATCACACCTTGTAGGTGCAGAGTCTGAGACATGAAAAAAAAAGGGTTCAAAACAGGCCTTCAAAAAAGGGCAAGACGATAAGCACTGAGTGACTTGGGTGCTCATGAGGATTTCAGGAAGGCCTTATATTTTTCCAGAAAAGGGGCAGACAGAATAACCAGCTCTTGCCGAAGTTCCTGTAGAGCCTTGTCCTGTTGCTCCTGCTCCCCGGTCATTTGCAGCTTGTAATAGTTAACGTATAAGTTGACCCAGTCATCCACTATGGTCGCCATGGCTTCTTCAGGGATTGGAGGATCAGGAAATACCTAGGGGGAGGAGAGGGAAGGGGGAAGTAGTAGTAGTCAATGTAATTGAAGAATAACTCACAAGCTCATGTCCTCCACCTGATTTGTATTCTCTGCCTTTTTGCCATTGGCTCCACCATTAACGTTCATTTTTTTTTTTTTTTTGGCTTTTTGGATCACACCCAGCAGTGCACAGGGATTACTCCTGGCTTTGCATTCAGGAATTAGTCCTGGTGGTGCTCGGGGACCATATGGGATGCTGCGAATTGAACCCGGGTCGGCCGCATGCAAGGCAAACATCCTACCTTCTGTGCTATTGCTCCAGTCCCTCCACCATTAACCTCCTAGCTCCCAATCATTCCCTATAAACTTCAGGACCATGCATTGAAACAGAGTGCCAAGGCTTACCTGCTGTTCCAGCAGACTATTGAATTCCTTGATTCCCTTGGAAATAAGATCCTTATTGTCCTGAAGAGTCATCTGCCCAGGGAGGGAAGGAGATACAATTAAAATCTACTTTCCCCTTATCCCTGGAAATTTCCTTTCAGTTCTTCCTTATCCCTGTGAAAGATCCCCAGCGTCTTACAGGGCCTCCTCCCCTGGACAGCTTTCAAATCCTGCCTTCTTCTGAGGGCTTATTTCTTCCAGGATGGCTCACCTTTAAGTTCAACAGTGCTAGGAACTCCTCACTCGAAGGTTGTCAGAGTATGTATGCCACTCTGTGCCAAGCTAGATATAGACAAGGAGTCAAGTGTCAGCTTAAGAGAGAAACGCCCCGTTTGGAGCTTGAGGGAGGGTGATAGGCCACGAAAGGGAGGGAAAGAAGGGTGAGGCTTTCTGAAGTGAAAAAGATAACAAGAGCAAGAAAAACAGATAAACAGGGAGATCCTGAAAGCCAAACTAGGAACATTGCCCCCTGGTTATGTCCCAGTATCCAGGGTCCAAACCCTAACCAAACTCTAACCAAGCTGAGCCCCTGCTATGGGAAAGACACCTTTAAATAGTCATAATAATGTGTTGGCAATTATTTTCCCACTTCATAGATGATGTTGCTGGAGGTGACATGGCAAAGAAGTAAGAAGATAGACTCCAAAAAACAGTGCTCTTACCACCCTGCTGGACCCACCTAGGTCATCCAAGGAAATGCCTGGTGTAGGTTAGGACTACTAAAACACTGAGTTCTTCAAGTGCAAAAAAGCAGAGAATGGCTTTCGGGAAGACTATATGCAATTTCTCCAAATTGTCTTGGCCTAGAATTCCCTGCACTCAAAAAGTTTCCTGGGTATGTATGCATACACAGGACACAGGGAAAAAAACCTTAGATGCCAGATAGTGCGTTCATATTCTTATCCCAATCTTAGATTCTCTGTAGCTTTTCCTTTTCCAAAGGGATCCACCCTTCTCAGTTTTTCCATCTCCAAACACCCATCTCCATTTTTGCATTTCAAGGGGATGTGGTGAAAAGCAAAAGGGGTGCCTTCTGGCTACTTCAGGGCCAGGGCAATTTCTTTTTAGTTTTATTATTTCCCAAAACATTTATTTAGGGGCTGGAGCAATAGCACAGCGGGTAGGGCGTTTGCCTTGCACGCGGCCGACCCAGGTTCGATTCCCAGCATCCCATATGGTCCCCTGAGCACCGCCAGGAGTAACTCCTGAGTGCAGAGCCAGGAGTAACCCCTGTGCATCGCTGGGTGTGACCCAAAAAGCAAAAGAAAAAAACCAAACAAACAAAAAAAATTTATTTGCCTGCCACACTATCAATAGCCATTTAAATGATCTTTATCATTTGTGTCAGGCACTGTACTGACATATCAGAGTATTTATCCTTACTTAAAATATTGAGAGAAAGATGGCGGCCGCACGGGAGCCTTGTGGACAGCAGGTTTGAGCCGGGCTCGGCGGAAGCAGCGGGGACCTCATGGGAAGGGGGGCTTTGTGGGCCGTTCCCCACGCCCCACCGAGGTCTCCAGCTGCCCCCCACGAGCGGCTCTCCAGCACGGCCACGGCCCCGGAGGCACAAGGACTTAGCACAGAGAACCAGCAGCTTGGAGCAGAAAAGCAAATGGACTATGTGTTAAACCGCGCCACCAAGCCTGCCCGGAGGGGAAAGGGCGTTGACCGCCCGCCCGCTCCTCTCTGGAGAGAAAGATGGCGGCCGCACGGGAGCCTTGTGGACAGCAGGTTTGAGCCGGGCTCGGCGGGAGCGGCGGGGACCTCATGGGAAGGGGGGCTTTGTGGGCCGTCCCCCACGCCCCACCGAGGTCGCCAGCTGCCCCCCACGAGCGGCTCTCCGGCACGGCCACGACTCCAGGGCACAGAAACCAATCTCTTAACTATCTAACTTTTAATAGAAATTCTTCCAGGGTCAATAAGTAAAATAGTAGAAATCCAAAACATCATTTTATTCTTAAACCAAGTTGTAGAAAGCAAATCATTTCACAACGCTGTTTCAGCATGTCTGATTGGGGGGGGGGGTGTCGTAAACTCTAAACAATAATTGTGCATCTTCTATAGAAACAATGTATCTAGTCAAAGTAGATAGAGTATTAACTAGAACTCATCTGCCTCACAGGAATTGGGAGGGATGGGAGATGGGGTTCTATTGGGGTTCGCGGTTAAAAATAAGTATTGGTAAAGGGAAATGTGTTTGATATTTACATGACTGAGACCTAAACCCGAAAGCTCTGTAACTTTTCTCACAGTGATTCAATAAAGAAATAAATTATAAAAAAAATATATATATTCTTAGGGCCTCCCTCCCCCCCCCCCCTCCGCCCCAGCAATGGTACAGTAGGTAGGGCATTTGCCTTGCACTCTGTCAGGCTCAGTTCGATCCAGCATCCCATTAGCCAACCCCCCAAGCACATCCAGGAATTAAATAAATAAATAAATAAATAAATAAGAAATAGAAAATAAAAATAATGAATAACACTCTATAAATAAATAAACAAAATATTCTTAGGCAGGGGTTAATGAGCCTGCAAATGAGCCCGTGTTCCACAAGAATGAGAGCGCGTTGATTTTGTTCTCCCCCATACTATTAGGTTGTCAACAAAGCAGAAATACTCTTTTCTTCTTTTAAAAGTAACTTTCTAAAAAAAAAAGTAAATAAATAAAAGTAATTTCCTGTTTTCCATTTTTAGGTAGATATTTTAAAATTTAAAAATTGCTACCTACTAAGTTAAATAAGTGAAGCAATACAAAGCGTATACACTGAAAAAGTTTATCACTTTTGCACTTTCCCTGTACAAAGCTGGCACTAATAAAGTACTTCCTGTCACACATATCTCAATTCAAAAACCAACCTTTGGGGCTGCAGAGATAGCAAAGCAGGCAGGGCCCTTTCAGGTTAGATTCTGGCACCACATATGGCCAGGAGTGATCCCTAAGCTCAGAGCCTTGAGCACTGCTGAGTGTGGCCCAAAGAGCAAAAGAATAAACAAAAAACCAACCAAACAAAAATAAAACCAGATTCACTTTACACTCATAGAGGTTTAATGATTTGGGGGTTTTGTTTGTTTATAGCATTTTCCTAATGTACAACAAAATAGACGTTTTTTGGTGTACAAATTTGTACAACTTTACAAATTTTCACGCATAGATTCCTAGAACATTATGACTACAGAAAAATTTCCATCACCCCTAAAATTCTTTGGCTCTATCCTGTTGTGCTGGCGAGAGCCGCGAGTGAACAGAGAGAGAGAGACAGCTCAGGACAGGATAGTGGGTTTATCAGAGGCTCAGCACTGAGGATCCCAAGTCAAAAGAGAAAGAGAAGAAACTTGGAACCCCATTAGCTGAGAGGGTCTCTCTTTGATCCTCTAAAGGTGGATTACAATCTACGTATATTCTTATCAGTGAAACAGGGGATACAGAGGGAATAAGAGAAAAACAATCAATGCATCGTTCGCACATGGTACAGCCTTCAGGTGTTCAAAGAAAAACAGTCAGTGTCAGTATATCTCGCCCATGTTGGAGCGGCCTTCAGGTACCATCTCCCGGGCACTCCCATCAATCTGTCTGTCCCAGTACATTCCCATCAATCTGGTGGGCTGGTGGGCCCTTAACTTGGTTGATTTGGATTATAAAAGGATGCTTCTACCTCTCTTCTCTTGTTTACCATAGGGGGTCAGTTTCAGTTTCACAGCCCGCATTATATTTTCTTAATTTTCCTTAGTTTCATAATTCTCCTGACAGATAGCTTCTAATATTTATCGTTACAACCCCTTCACAGTCAAAACCTGCCAACCATTGATCTGTTTGCCATTAATAGAGGCCAGTGTATTTGAGGGTGTCTTATAATGGAAAAGTCAGTATGTAACCTTTGAGACTGGTTTCTCTCTATGGTTTATGCTTTATGGGTTCATCCAAGTTGTTTCAAGTAGAAGGAAGTTGCTTCTTACCATTACTGAGTACACATTAACAGGATGCACTTAGTTTCATCCGCTGAAGGACATTCAAATTGTAGTTTGTGGCAAGTATGATTAGAAATACTAGAAAATCCCTGTATATATGTATGTATATATATATATATTTATGGAGACATATTTTCAATTCTGTAGGGTAGAAATTGGTTGTTACAAGTATCACTGTATCACTGTCATCCCATTGTTCATCGAGTTGCTTGAGTGGGTGCCAGTAACGTCTCTATTCATCCCAGTCCTGAGATTTTAGCAGCCTCTCCATACTTGTCCTACCCAACGGTGTCGTATTGGAGGCTCTTTTAGGATCAGGGGAAAGAGACCGGTAATTGTTACCATTTTTGACATATTGAATATTCCATGGAGAGCTTGCCAAGCTCTGCCATGTGAGCAGGATACTCTCGGTAGCCTGCTGGGTTCTCCGAGAGAGACAGAGACTGTATATAAGAGAATACAAGCAAGTATGTTAAAATCAAACACATGTGTGCCACTTTAGTTACATCAGTGGGCTAGACTATGTAATTACTATGTTACAAGTAATAACAAGATAATCTGACCCTTGCCAAAGAAAAGGTATAACAATTTATAACAAACTTTTATAATTCAATAATAAGACAAGCCAATTAAAAATTGTGTAGGGGGCACCACACTCAGTGATGCTCAAGGTTTTCCTGGTTCTGTGCTCAGGAATCAGTTCTGGAAGGCTCAGGGAATCATATGTGATAGCAGGGATCAAATCTGGGTCAGCTGCATGCAAGGCAAGAAGCCTAACCCAACTTTTTAATGGTCAAAAGATTTGAAAAGTGTATCTTCACAGGATGGAAATAAAAATGTGCCCAATATTATGTTGTGTCCAAGTACATCATAACTCGATGAATAGCTGAGACAAAGAAGTGGGTAGGACAGAAGTTTATTTCACTGCAACGGGCCCATCGATCAGGAAGGGTTGTGGGACCCATTCAACAAATGACTCAAAGACTGAGATTACATTTTTACTCAAAACTGCATTCCATAATGTCAATTAAGATCATGCAAGATTAACTACAGATTTTAATTGTGTTTAAAACAAGACAGAATTTATAGACATGTTAGATATTAACCTTAAATACTTTAGACTTCATCAGTGAATTGCCCTTTTTCCTCCCCCCAAGAGAAGCTTAAAGTGCTCTTATGAGCACCCCTAATCCCCTGAGTTTATCTTTAACCCTTCCTTTGTATTACTAAGTTACTAAGTCAAACCTTCTGGTAACTCTGGACTTTATATTTATAGTGAATTACTTGCTTTTCTATTTCCCCTATAGCCTTTTCACTTTTTGCTATAGAGCAATGTTCTTTGCTTAAAG